CTGACCTGGAGACGTCTCGGGAAAGCAGCCTCTGTGATTCGAGGGCCCTCCAGCCCTTGCTACCATGTGTGTCCTCCCCGCTCTGTGTGCGCCTGTGTCCCACAGCTGCCGGGCTCTTCCATGTCTGCTTTTGCCCGTCTGAGAGTACCACGCAGAGAGCTCAGCTGTACCCTTTGCCCCCCCCCCCCGCAGCGTATCGTCCTTGTGCTCGTCTGCATGGCTCCCGATTTCCAGGGCACGATGGTGCCACACACACTATGTTTGACCATTAGCGCTGTGACAGACATCTGGGTCTTTCCGGCTTTGGTAATTACAAATAAAATAGCTAGAAACAGGCTTCGTTACAAACCCTTTCCCAGGGTAAGTGTTCAGGGGAAACAATTGTCAAGTTTAATTTTTCTTTTCAGTTGCTATTAATTTTGCAGTGCTGGGGACTGCGCCCACCACCTTTCATGCCAGGCGAAGGGCCCACAGCGCTGCCATCCCCTCAGCCTTTGGCTTCTGACGTGGAGTCTTACATACGGCACAGACTGACCTTGAACTCACGACAGTCCTGGGACTGCCTGTACATGTGTGTTGCAGTACACACTCTTGGTTTTTAAAGACACCAAGCTGGTTTACAGCGTGGCTGCCCGGTTCATACCCCGCTGTCAGGGTGTGGGTAATGTGACGTCTCCCTGACTCACCCCACTGCCCAGGTGTGGATCATGCGTCTTCTCACCACCCCAGTTGGCTCTGATGCCCTCTCTGGGTTCTGTTCCAGCTGCTCTGATAGGCACACAGCCTTGTCTGATTTGGGGGTTAATTTGCATTTCCCCGATTTCCGTGGTACCGAGTCTGACATCTGTCCATCCTCTTTGGTACAGCGTCTCTGTGCCTTCAACGTTAGATCAGCCTTTAGTAGCCCCGGACAGTGAAACTTCACCTCACGATTGTTCTCTAGACAGTTTGAAGTTGGTTGATGTCTAAGCCGGTGGTCTATTTGAGTTACCTGTTTGTACATGGTGTTGGAGTGAGGTTGAGGGTCACCTGTGTTTTTCCCGGTGGCCGTCCAGTGTCCCCGGCTGACTGTGACGCTGAGTCTCCCTGTGGGTTTGTCCCATTGGTTGGACCCACTCTTGTGGGGCTGTTTGTGGGGGCCTTTCTGTCCGGTCGTGAACATCAGCTCTCCCCGTAGTGAGCTCTCGTGTCTCTTGAAGCGGTGTTGTATAGTTTCACACACAGTCGCAGCCTCTCTGACCCTCGCCCTAGTCTGCATTGTGCTGTCTCGTGTCAAAGCGAGACCGTGGTGAGAAGCCAGCACTGTGACTGTGGACTTGTCTTTATTTTTAAAAAATTTCTGGGGTTTTGCTTTACAATGTTTGCAGCTCTCTAACTGGGGATTCACATATAAGATTGGTGTGTGTGCATGTGTGTGTGTGCCTGTTTTATATATATATATGTATATATGAACATGTGTAGACATGTCTGTGTATAGAATGTATACATGTAGCTATCTATGTACATGCACATATGTATATATTTGAACATACTTGTGTATACATGCCTGTGTTTATGATACATGTATATGTATTTGTGTGAACATACATGTGTATATGTCTGTGCATATGGCGTAATGTGTATATGTATATATGTGAACATGTGTATGTATTGATGTCTGTATATGTTATATACATGTGTATTTAATATGCACATATATAAACACTTATGTGTATACAGTCTGGTGCATGATGTATGCATGCATATATGTACACATGTGTATGTATATATGAATATATCTGTGTACATACTTCTGTTTATGATATATATGAACATATATGTCTGTGTATAGGATATGTGTGTGTTATATATGGACATACATGATATATTTATATTTATGTAAGTGGTATGTGTATGTATGTCTGTGTATCTGATGCACATATATATGTATATGTGTGTACATGTGTATTTTTGCCGAATTGACTTCTTTACTATAGTTTCTCTGTAGGGTTCTCCGGCAGGTAGAGCTGGGGAAGGGCTGGTCCAGCCCGTCTCTTCCCGGGGCTGGGCCAGATGATGAGTGTGGGATAACTCAGAACTCCCCCCCTCCTAGTTACCGGGGAGAAAATACACACTGAGTCTGCAGACTTGTGGAAGCAGAATCTCGATTTATCCCAACAGGCAGGAACTTATATAGGGCTGAGGTAGGGGATGGGAATCTGAGGATGGGGTAAGGTGACGTGAGGAGTAAGGGCCAATAATATCCCACTGAGCAGGCAGGGGGCAGTCTTACATCAGGCCTTGCCGAGTTACCCCCACATGGTGGTTACAGGCCAGAGACAGGATGACAAACTCTAGCCAGGCTCAGGAGGTTACACTGAGCCTTTTTAGGCCCAACATCTCTCTTGGTCTATAACAGGTTTTGTTTTGTTCTGAAGTCTCTGCAATCAATTCAGCCATCATTGCTTTCCATTTACTACTGCTGTTACATAATTTTTCATCTTTTACAGTCCATTTACCAGTTTTACTAAATTTCTATGTGAGTTTCTTGTAGGCAGCTTAGAGTTGGGTCATACTTTCTTTTAATTCTACTCTTCTAGTCTCTATCTTTTAACTGCTTTATTTATGTTATTTATATTTAATGTAATTATTAAAATATCTGATAATATATGTGACAATTGAGTTTCGTTTTCTGCTTGCCTTAAATTCTTTCATTTCCTTTTTACTACCTTCTTAAAGTTTGTTGAACATGCAATTCCATTTTGACCTTTGTTCCTGTGTCATCACTAAAGTCTCCTCTTGTGTAGATTTTGTTTTAGTAGTTGCTTCTAGGTTTTTATACCAGCATATCAAAGTCCATTAGTGTCATCATTTTGCTAGTCCAAATGGGGTATAGAGAATTCCTCCCTTTTAAACTCTTTACTTTTTACCTGACACATCCATGTAGTGGGTATCATGTGAGAGCAGAACAAGATGAACTGTCAGTATGTAGAACAACATGGGCAAACGCCAAGTGCAGGAATACAGGAGGCCAGAGAGAAGGCAGGCAGGATATGGCCGCATGCACGTGAGCTTTAGACTGAACTGCAAACTCGGGCTGGGATTACCAAGGGATCCAAGGAGCACTGGTAACTGAGGAGTTCTCAGTGGTGGACACCTTCCAGATGTACCTCACCGCAGACTTTACAGGGGCCGGCGAGACGGCCCAGTAGTTACAGGAGCTTGCCGCCAAGGTGGACCTGAGTTAGATCCCAGAGCCCACGGCGGAGGGAGAGAACCAGCTCCTGAAAGCTGCCCTCCCCTCCCCTTCCCCTCCCCCGTGTGTGTGTGTGTGTGTGTGTGTGTCTGTGTGTGTGTGTCTCTGTGTGTGTGTGTGTCTGTGTGTGTGTCTGTGTGTGTGTCTCTGTGTGTGTGTGTCTCTGTGTGTGTGTGTCTCTGTGTGTGTCTCTGTGTGTGTGTCTCTGTGTGTGTGTCTCTGTGTGTGTGTCTCTGTGTGTGTGTGTCTCTGTGTGTGTGTGTGTCTCTGTGTGTGTGTCTCTGTGTGTGTCTCTGTGTGTGTGTGTCTCTGTGTGTGTGTGTCTCTGTGTGTGTCTCTGTGTGTGTGTCTGTGTGTGTGTGTCTCTGTGTGTGTGTGTCTCTGTGTGTGTCTCTGTGTGTGTGTGTCTCTGTGTGTGTGTCTCTGTGTGTGTGTGTCTCTGTGTGTGTGTCTCTGTGTGTGTGTGTCTCTGTGTGTGTGTGTGTCTCTGTGTGTGTGTGTCTCTGTGTGTGTCTCTGTGTGTGTGTCTCTGTGTGTGTGTCTCTGTGTGTGTCTCTGTGTGTGTGTGTCTCTGTGTGTGTGTCTGTGTGTGTGTGTGTCTGTGTGTGTGTCTGTGTGTGTGTCTGTGTGTGTGTCTGTGTGTGTGTGTGTCTCTGTGTGTGTGTGTGTCTCTGTGTGTGTGTGTCTGTGTGTGTGTCTGTGTGTGTGTGTCTCTGTGTGTGTGTGTCGGTGTGTGTGTGTGTCTCTGTGTGTGTGTGTCTCTGTGTGTGTGTGTCTCTGTGTGTGTGTGTCTCTGTGTGTGTGTGTCTCTGTGTGTGTGTCTCTGTGTGTGTGTGTCTGTGTGTGTGTCTCTGTGTGTGTGTGTCTCTGTGTGTGTGTGTCTCTGTGTGTGTCTCTGTGTGTGTGTCTGTGTGTGTGTGTCTGTGTGTGTGTGTCTGTGTGTGTGTCTCTGTGTGTGTGTCTCTGTGTGTGTGTCTCTGTGTGTGTCTCTGTGTGTGTGTGTCTCTGTGTGTGTGTCTGTGTGTGTGTGTGTGTCTGTGTGTGTGTCTGTGTGTGTGTCTGTGTGTGTGTGTGTCTCTGTGTGTGTGTGTGTCTCTGTGTGTGTGTGTCTGTGTGTGTGTCTGTGTGTGTGTCTCTGTGTGTGTGTGTCGGTGTGTGTGTGTGTCTCTGTGTGTGTGTGTGTCTGTGTGTGTGTGTCTCTGTGTGTGTGTCTGTGTGTGTGTGTCTGTGTGTGTGTGTCTGTGTGTGTGTGTGTGTCTGTGTGTGTGTGTCTCTGTGTGTGTGTGTCTGTGTGTGTGTGTCTCTGTGTGTGTGTCTGTGTGTGTGTGTGTCTGTGTGTGTGTGTCTGTGTGTGTGTGTGTCTGTGTGTGTGTCTGTGTGTGTGTGTGTCTGTGTGTGTGTGTGTGTCTGTGTGTGTGTGTCTGTGTGTGTGTGTCTGTGTGTGTGTCTGTGTGTGTGTGTGTCTGTGTGTGTGTGTGTCTGTGTGTGTGTCTCTGTGTGTGTGTGTGTCTGTGTGTGTGTGTCTCTGTGTGTGTCTGTGTGTGTGTGTCTCTGTGTGTGTCTGTGTGTGTGTGTCTCTGTGTGTCTCTGTGTGTCTCTGTGTGTGTGTGTCTCTGTGTGTGTGTGTGTGTGTCTCTGTGTGTGTCTGTGTGTGTGTGTGGTGGGCATCTGCCTGTGCGAGCACCCACACCCACAAGAAGCAAGCGCCGCAGCTGTCTCTCCTCAGTCCTCCGCTGCTGTGACTGATTTACCTTCCCCCTCGCAGGCGATCACACTCTTGACGGAATTAATCCGGGAGAGCTTCCGGAGCAGCAAACTGAAGCAGTGTCTCCTGCCGGCCCTCGGACAGCTCATCTACCTCGTGGCCACCCAGGTGAGACTGGCTGTGAACCCTGACCCCGTTGCCTGTCCCCTTAGAGCTCAACTGGGGCCTTAGGACACTGCCCACCTCTGCGGCCCCCTGTCTCTTCCTGTGCCCCCTCCCTCCCGCTGCCCGTGCTCCCCTCACTCAGGAGCTTCTCCTCGGGCGGGTACGTTTTAAAGTGGGGGCACTACAGTGCTCAGAGCACTCAGGAGGCGATGTCGCTCTCCCGCTCTCCCACTGCCAGATCTCCGTCCCCGCTTAAGTGAGATGTGTAAAGAGAAGCCTTCCCGCCAGCCTGTTCCAAAGCCGCATCAGTCCCAAATAAACACACAGGAGGCTATATTAATTATGAAGCTGTTGGCCTTGCTTGTTTCTTACTGGCTAGCTCTGACTTAAGTATTTACCCCATAATTGTTAATCTAAGTATGTCTCTTACCGGAGAAGTTTCCGGGCTTCTTATCCCTATGGCGGTTACATCGTGACTCTCTGTGTTTCTCCTACCTAGAATCTTCCTGGACTCCTAGTCCCACCTATCTTGCTTCCCTATTGGCCAGCAGTGCTTTATTGACATATACGCAGGACTTCCCCAACAGAGATGCTACTTTGTGCAGATGCTAGTGTGACTGTGGAGACTTTCTGTGGCCAGACGATGACGTACGGTTGAAGCCAGCAGGGCGTAACTACCCCTGGCCAGTGTGCTTTAGAGACGGTGACCGAGTGGACACTGACAGCTATGGGCTGTCCCGCCTCACACTCGTGAACTTCAGATATTCGGACAGGATTCCTCTCACTGCATTCTTAAAGTTCTGTTTCCCCAGCTTTCCTGTCTGTAGCCAGCCTTGTCCTGCTGAGCCCCGCCCCTGTGCCCCGCCCCTGTGCCCCGCCCCTGTGCCCCGCCCCTGTGGACACAGTTTCTCCTGCTTGTGCATTTTCTCCCAGGACACCTGTGTTTCTCTCTCCAGAGGACCCAGCCAGCCTTCCCCGGCTCCCGAGTGGCCTGGGCCCTCCTCAGCCCCTCCCCCTCCTGGACTTCCTCTGTAACGCTCGTCTCTATCCTGCCTGCTTTATTTCTGTGGTATACGCTTCATCTTTCTGTGGTATTTGCTTCCGTCTCTGATGTTTGTTCAGCACCGCCTTGTTATGCTGGCTTGGCTGTTGGGAAGTTTCTGGTCTAAGTGCACCTTAGTTAAATGTCCCGTTGACGGCTGGGGATATAGACTCCCATGTGTGGACCCTGGAATCAATCCCCAGGACCACGAATGAACCAGTTAGCGGGTACATGAGTAAAGCATGTATTGTATGCAGGCCCCTGGGCTGGGCAGGGACGGAGAGGGCTGGAGAGATGTGGGGACGAAAGACCTCGGCCCAGACAGGGCCTCACCCTGAGAGCAAGGAGAACGCGTAAGGCGTTAAGGTGGGCTGGAGGTTCGCCCTGGTTTACATGAAGGCAGGAGATGGAGAGCGAGGGTTCCCAGGTCCCGTGAGGACGGCCAGGAGGGAGCATCGCTGGGGCTGAGGGCTTCGAAGGGCTAAGAGAAAGGACTGAAGAGAAGGTACTGGGTGGTGACGGGAAAGCCTGGGTCTGGGGAGATGGAGAAATGGCTCAGCAGCCACATAAATGCCAGCCGGGCGCGGTGGCCCCGAAATCCCAGTGTGGCAGAGTGAGAGTCTGCCTCCGTGTCGAAGGTTCAGACTCAAGAAAGATGGCGACGCCAACCTCTGGCTGTCACACCTGTATGCATGTGAACACTAGCACACACCACACGCTAAACACACCACAGAAAGCTTGGTGACTCAACACTGTTTATGCCTGGAGAGGGCTGCAGAGTCAGGTAGAGCGGGCTGAGGAGCCAGCAGAAGGCGGTTGTCCGAAGTGGAGGGAGCCCAGGCGGGGGTGGAGCACTCTGTGTAGCCGAGGATGTCCTCAAACTTCCGATCCTCTGGAGAGGGAGACAGTGAACCTGCCGAGGTGGAGAGAGGAGAGAAGCGACAGGGCTGTCGGTTACTCATGGGCCTGGGGAAGGCAGGATGGCAATGAAACCCTCAGCCCAAGTGTGAGGAGTGGGGGGGCTGTCCCTCGGGACACGGGGCATTGTGTAAAGCAGTTCTTCCCAGCGTGTGACAGGTGCACAGTGGACGTGGTTATTTCTTTCTCACAGATTCCCTGAGGAGGGGAGAGGGCCCAAAGGGGCAGGAGGGTCACAGGTTAGGTATAGAAATAGAGATGGTCAGAGAAGCAGACCAACCAGAGAGTGGGGTCTAGGTGCCCCAGGGTGCTGATCACGCACGCGTTCCTCATGGACCCTGTGACCTATGGTGTCAGCTTCTCCAGGAACCCCGTTGCTTGAGCTCAGGCCTGGAGCTCACTGCCCGCAGCCTTGGGCTTCCCAGTAAGGGCAAAAGTATGGCCAGAAAGCGAAGGCATTTCAGGCTTCTGGGGGAGTGGAGAGTTGCAGGCCCAGTGGTTAAAGCGGCTGGGGCGGGGTCTATGGAAGGAGGGACAGGGCAGGGGCCACCAGGCCCGCTGTGGTCACCTTCCCAGCACATTTCTCGCCCCGCTGGTTTCCACTGCTTGTCTGTCTGACGGTTGCACAGGCTGAGGGGCCTGGCCTAGTCTGTAGTGGCTGCGAGAGCCTGGGCTTGCGCGTAATCACTCCAGTAGGAGTCAGCGTTCTTCGTTTTTACCTCAGTCCAGACAGCGGGTGCTGCTCGGCGGGATGGGGGCACAGCCGGCTGTGCCAGGGTCTGCTCAGCGCCCTGTGCAAGACAAGAAGCAGACATTCTGTGTGTGCACACGGCAGTAAGAGACCCTGCGGTCAGGAGCAGGTGGAGGTTTCAGGGGGGCCTGGACCGCTGCTTTGGATGCTTGCTTGGGGGCTTCGGCTCCGGTGCTTACTGCCTTCCCTCACCTTCGTGTTCTAGGAAGAAAAGAAACAGCACTCCAGGGACTGCTGGGCCGTGCCCTTGGCTGCGTACACTGTGCTTATGAGGTGCCTCCGGGAAGGGGTAAGGAGCCTTTGCTGCCCTCTGTAGACCCAGAAACTGCAGCGCAGGCCAGGCAAGAGAGAGGCATGTAGCCACAGCAGCGAATGCTCGACAGTCAAGTGCTGCTCCTGAACTCAAGCGATCCGGGCAAGCTGCACCCTCACTCCTCAAGTGCCCTAGTAAAAGACGACGGGAGAGCCAGGTGTGGTGGTGCACGCCTTTAATCCCAGCACTCGGGAAGCAGAGGCAGGCGGGTCTCTGTGAGTTCAAGGCCAGCCTGGTCTACAGAGTGAGTTCCAGGACACTCAGGGCTGTTACACAGAGAAACCCTGTCTCGGGGGGAATGGATGATGGCCTGACCATCTTCTATAGCAGTGGTTCTCAACCTGAGGGTTGCTATCAGGTATCCTGCGTATCATATGTTTGCATTATGAATTATAACAGTAGCAAAATTACAGTTATGAATAGCAATGAAATAATTGTATGGTTTGGGGTCAGCACAGCATGAGGAGCTGTATTAAAGGGTCGCAGCATTAGGGAGGCTGAGAACACTGCTCTCTAAGATGCTGTTAATTACCCTGCCTCTGTCCAAGACTTTTCTAGGGCAGCCCAGTGGGCAAGATGTGTGCAGAACCTCTGTGAGCCCGCCTGCCCCATGATGAGCCCTGTGACCGTTGTCATGTAGGCCACGTCACCATGCAGAGTCGGTGGCCTCTGTTTGCTTCATGCCATTTGACGGGGTTCCACCCAAGGAAAAGCCAGAGGCTAAAGACATTAATTACTACAGGAATGAAAAAAGACAAGTCAGGGCGAATGTTCTCCTTCCAGTGTCCCGAGGCGGTGGAGGACGGTTCCAGCTGCTGCGTGTGTGCAGGGTGAGGCACTCCCTCCCGCGGTCAGTGTCTTGGCCAGCGTTCTATGGCTGTGAAGAGACACCATGAGCACGGCAGCTCTTATGAAGGAAAACAGTTAACTGGTGCCGGATTACAAGTTTCAGAGGTTTGAGAAGCATGGCGGCATGCGGGCAGACAGGGTGCTGCAGAGGGAGCTGACAGTCCTACATCTTGATCCTCAGGCAACAGGAAGAGACACTGGGAGTGGCTTGAGCACCTGAAACCTCAAAGCCTGTCCCCATGACACACTTCCTTCAGCAAGGCCACACCCACTCCACAAGGCCACACCCACCAAGGCCACACCTCCCAATAGTACCAATTCCTGGTGACCACGCATTCAGATCCATGAGTCTGTAGGCTGTTAGTCTGTAGATTCATGTGTTATGACGGTGCATGTGACATGACGGTGTGTGTGATGTGATGTGAAGGTGCATGTGACGTGACGGTGCGTGTGTCATGGGTGTGGCGCATCCTCCTTTATCAGTACCGTGGTAATGGGACCTCTGCTTGGGCTTCTCTGTCACTCAAGGCCTTGGGCTGGGACCCTTGGGGAGCACAGGTGGGAGGGGACAGTGCTGTTGACCACTGGCCTCCCCTCCTGGAGAGACAGATGAAACACGAGAGGATAAGTATCGAGGGTGTGAGGGCCCAAGAGGCTGGAGTGAGACCTCAAGCCACAGCGTCCTCTGCCAACAGGGAGCAGGGCTTGGGTCCTCTCTTCATTTTAAGTCAACATTGTTGCTCCTGGAAGATTAGAACCTCTGGGTGTGTCTGTCCCCCAGACTTTCCCCACTAATTGCTGAGGTGAGAACAATAGCCCAGGTTGAGAATGGTGAGTATTGACGTATTTACAGAGCAGATGAGATATAGTTTTCATGACCAGTAGATACTGTACACAGAAGCACAGTGGAGAGAGACAGAGACAGAGTCAGACAGAGACAGAGACATAGGAGACAGAGACAGAGTCAGACACAGGCAGAAAGACAGAGACAGAGACACAGGAGAGACAGAGAGTCAGAGTCATACAGAGACACAGGAGACAGGAGACAGGAGAGAGGATGAGAAGTAATGAATTACCTATCCCAGGGGAAGTGGGGATTTTCTGTGACAGCATATCCTTGGTGTGTGGAGCCCTGTTTGGACAGATGAAGGGTGGTGCTCACTGTCATTAGGTGTAAATCATCTTGTGTGGTCACTGGTCTGGTTGAGACTGTCTATTTGGGATGGGGACTCTGGAGGCATTAGGAGTCAGGCTGTGTTTGTATGGGCATCACAGGTCACTGGGGTGGGCTCCGTTGTGAGGGAGTGGGTGTTCCGCTTCTTATTTTTGTCTTTTGGTCTCTGTGCAAGTTTTGTAGATGACACAACATGGAGATAATATTTGATCACTAAATTATTGCTAACAATTTTAAGATAGAGATAAACTTTTGTGTTTTAGTAACACTTTTGCTTTTTATACCCGTAGTTACATGTTTTGTGTACATATATGTAAGTTTTGAATTTTATGTTTTCATACAGGGAAAGTTTCAAGAAGTGTTGTAATTTATGAAGCATCTCTGTGTTGGATTTAGTGTGGTCCTGGCAGTGAGAACCCACATCCCTCACCTATGTTTGGCAGCGGCCGCCATTTTGCCTACTTTATGCTGGTGCATTTAAAAGGCATTTATTTGTGCCTTTATTTTTTGAAATGCTGGAAAAAACTGCACACACCGTGTCACTCTGCCCAAAGGAATTCATATGTAATCCTGTTTGTCTTCTGTGATTATATGTTTTAGGTACTTAAAAAAGGTTTATTTTTAATTGTGTTTGTGACTGTGTGTGTGTGGTGTGTGTGGTTGTGTGTGTGTGTATGTGTGGTATGTGTGAGTGTGTGCAGTATGTGTGAGTGTATGTGTGGTGCGTGTGTGAGTATTGTGGTATGTGTGGTGTGTGTGTGTGTGTGTGTGTGTGGTATGTGTGGCTGTGTGTATGTGTGTGTGCGGTATGTGTGGTGTGTGAGTGTGTGAGTATTGTGGTATGTGTGGTGTGTGTGTGTGTGTGGTATGTGTGGTGTGTGAGTGTGTGTGTGTATGTGTGTGTGTGGTATGTGTGGTGTGTGTATGTGAGTATTGTGGTATGTGTGGTGTGTGAGTGTGTGTGTGTGGTGTGTGAGTGTGTGTGTGGTATGTGTGGTGTGTGTGGTGTGTGTGTGGTATGTGTGGTGTGTGAGTGTGTGGTGTGTGAGTGTGTGGTTTTGTACACATTAATTCAGGTGCCCACTGCTGGAGATTCATGCAGTTGTCAGCCAACCCCCAACATGGGTGCCAGGAACACGAAAGCTCTTGACAGCTGAACCAACCCTCTGGCCCTGTGTAGTGGGTACTTTTGGTTTGTAGTCATCTCTTTTACTCTCTTTGTAGTATCCGTTGACAGCAGAAGGTCTTACGGGTGGATGAGGTGGCTTAGAGGCAACAGCGCTTGCCGCTAAACCTGATTTCTGCAAGTTGCCCTCTGACCTCTGCACATGTACTGTGGTGCATGTACACCATTCCCCCAAATAAGTAAATGTAAGAAAAAATCCAGTCCTTGTGGTACTGACAGACGTGTGGGTTCCCAGGGGCAGCTCATCTCCAGGGCCCCCTCCCCCAGCATCTTTTAGTCTCTGGTAATCTCCATCATCAGTTAACACCCATTCCTTCGATTCAGACTTAGTAGTCCATATTCTGTGCCTTAACTGGCATCTTGGTCTTCCCCGTATGCGGTGGTTTGAACAGGAATGGCCCCCATGGACTTGTGTTTGAATGCTTGGCCTACAGGGAGTCGTACTTGTTGGAGGAAGTGTGTTAGTGTCGGGGTGGGCTCATATGCTCATACTTCCTGTTGCCTGTGGATCAAGATGTAGAACTCACAGCTCTTTCTCCAGCGCCATGTCTGCCTGCACGCTGCCATGTCCCGCCATGATGGTCATGGACTGAACCCCTGAAACTAAGCCACACCCAACTCATTGGTTTCCTTTATAAGAGTTTCCGTGGTTATGGTGTCTTTTCATAGCAATAGGAACTCTAAGTCACCTTCTAACTGTAAAATGGACCTGTCTTTGTGTAATTATGCGTCAAGTGCTGTTGCTAAGCCAAAGCCTTCTGCCTGTTTACTGAAGGCAGTGGGACTGGGGGAGCGGAGCCTGAAAATGAGGTGGCATGTGGTCTCACACACTGGCCAGCTTTACTCAGAGCGTCGGCAGTTTAAACGCCGAGGGCTAGGAAGGCTCACCCGAGTAAAGTGTGCAGTCACACGCACAGCCACATGCAGAAAAAGCATGTTTTCCCGTAGAGGTACGTGAACAAATAGTAGCCATTTGGGATCAGTAATCTAAGTGAGCTCACTGCTAACCTGGAGGGTCACAGAAGCACATTCCAAGAACAACTCAGTGTTTTTGATAAAGCTGAGGTCACAGGACTCTTGTTGTCTTGATGCTTCCTCACAAGCACTCAGGGTTCTTCTCACACAGCTGCATCCTTGGACTGTGTCCTGACACCTATCCAGTGCTCCATCTAGATAAAACAAGTGTATTTCTGGTCAGAACGGCATTGGGGATATGAGGCTTCCTCTGTCCTGCAACACAGGCATCAGTCACAGCTCTTGGTAAAAAATGCTCCATTCCCCACAGGCACATTCCTCACCTGAGGAGTCATGGTGGGTGAGCCTTAGTAGTTCAGAGCTGTGTTCTCTGTGCTTTTGTTGTTGAGTGGGGGCTGCCTGGTTTCTGGAAACTTCCTCTCTTGCTTATTCATAAGATTTCTTTTAAAGGAAGATTTCTCTTTCTCTCTATCTTTTTTTCAAGACAGGGTTTCTCTATATTATTTTGGGGACTGTCCTGGAACTCACTCTGTAGACCAGGCTGGCCTAGAACTCACAGAGATCCACCTGCCTCTGCCTCCCGAGTGCTGGGATTAAAGGCGTGCGCCACCAACGTGCCTGGCAGAAGATCTCATTTTAAATAACAAGTAAAATTTTTACTGGTGTCTTTATAGCTTTCGTCTGTGTATTGTCAAATGTTCAGTAAAACAAAAATCTCTAAACAAATCCCAGTTATGCCTTTTTCCCATTACGGTTTTCCTGGTGTTGAGGATGGGGCCAAGAACACACCCAGACTCACTGCATACGCAGTCTTCCACTATGCAGCCCCTGATGAATAATTGGGGAAGACTTCCTACAGAAAGCTTCCCCACAGCGATTACATTCATAGATAGGGTTTCTCTACTTCTAGGGTTTCTCGGGTGTAAGATAAGGAAAGAGATCTTTAAATGTTGTTCCACGTTAATTACCCCGTATGGGGTTTCTCTCCAGTATGAGTTCTCCTTCCTACATGTGATATGGTGAGCGCTACAGTGGGTTTCACTTGTAAGGTTCTCACCATTATAACCCTCAGAAAAGCAGCAAGGTCACAGCTCTGACTGAAGGATTCCTCACATTTATGAAATTCATAATTTTCTAAAAAAAAACCCACCTTTGTTTCCTGAAAATCTGAGCCATCTGGCTATAGAGTTTCCCATATTTATTACACCAATCGATATTAATTTCAGAATGATTTCATGCCTAGTGAGGGCTGCACACGCTCTGCATAGTCCTGTCGCACCCCAGCTTTTGAAGGCTCTCTCTCCTGTGTGGGTTCTCAGAAATGCAGTGGGGGAGAGCCTGCCGAGGGGTCCCCACACTCAGCACATTGGTTTTATTCCAAACTAAGTTCTTCTGTGCTTTGTTATGTTACTCACCGTTGTTGCTATGATAAAAATCCCTGGCTACTGCAGCCTGAGCAGGGACGGGTGTGTTTGGGCTTGCGGTTTCAGGTTCACAGTCCCCCAAAGCAGGGAAGGCATGGTGGCAGGCGGTTCCACGGGGATGGGAACCTGAGGCTGGGACTCCTCAGTTCTCCACTGCTCAGTTCGTCAGGAAGCAGAGAAGGAAGACGCCAACTTCCTCTCCTTTCCATCCTTTTTCTTTTTTAACTTTTTATTCAACCTAAGATCTCAGGTCATGGTATGGTGTCACTAACATGAGCGATGGGACTTCTCTCCTTCGTTAATTGTCTCTGGAAACGCTCTCACAGACTTGTCCAAGGGCGTATCTCCTAGGTGATTCTAAACCCAGTTGGCAGGGAAAATTAATGATCATATTTTCTTAGTGTTGAATTATCCTAGAAACATTTCCACATTTTTTTTGAGACAGGGTTTCACTGTGTAGCTCTGGCTGTCTTTGAACTCACTCTGTAGACCAGGCTGGCCTCGAACTCACAGAGATCCACCCGCCTCTGCCTCCCGAGTGCTGGGACTAAAGGCATGCACCACCACTGCCCGGCACATTAGTTTCTTTTAAAGAGGTTTTCCACAGCATCCTGTTCCCTGTGGTCCCTGGCACGGGAGTTCCAGCGCAGCATTTGTAAACCTCAGTGCGTCTCAGAATTCGTTTCCGGTGTGAGTTCTCTGGTGGCGTGTGAGGGGAGCGCTGCAGCTGAAACTCTTCCCCTTTGCTGCCCGCCCATGTCCTCTTGTATGCATTGCCTGTGTGATGAGCGCCGCGGGAGGCCTTCCCTCATTTGTCCCACCCGGAGGTTTCGTTCCACTGCGAGTCTGTTTTAAGGCCTGGATACTTCCTACAAGTATCTCTACTTTTATCCCTCACACGGGACTTCTCTGCTGCGTGAGTTTTCTGGTGTTCAGTGGGATGAAAACTCACAGTGAAAGGTGCTCCACACGCGTTGGACCCACAGGCTCTTCTGCTGCGTAACGCACGTCTGCTCCCTCAGGAGTGCGTCACTGACGGAGACCCTTCCCACCACTGTACCACTTACTGTCTTAGCAGAACTGATTTGTGATGGCCCATCAAGGATGGCTGTAATAACGTACCCTTTGCAAAAGCCATCTTGTTTTGCAAAGTCTTTAAAATTACTTTTACGTGTGAGTGAGTGCACTGCCCGGGAAATCCAGAAGAGAGCAGCAGGCAGTGTGTCCCTGGGTTTGCAGTTACGGGCAGTTGTGAGTTGCTCTGTGTGGATTCTGGGAACAAAACTGGGTTTCTCTGCAAAAGCAGTACCTGCCCTGACCCTCTGAGCCATCTCTCCAGCCCTGTCCAGGGTCTATGAGACATCACATTATCTTTGGATTTTTGCTGGAGTCTTTTTTTTTTTTTTTCTCTCCAGACAGGGTTTCTCTGTGTGGCCTTGGAGGCTGTCCTGGAACTCGCTCTGTAGATCAGGCTGGCCTCGAACTCACAGAGATCCGCCTGCCTCTGACTCCAGAGTGCTGGGATTAAAGGTGTGTGCCACCATTGCCTGAGCGTTAGTTATCCCCGGTGGTTCAGAGGAAACCGCAAGCACGTCTCTCTCTCTGAAGAAGACCCCTTGCTTGGCGAAGCGGCACTTTCTGAATGTTCCCGCTCTTTGTTCGCTCTCCAGGAGGAACGCATTGTCAATCACATGGCGGCGAAGATCATCGAGAATGTTTGCACCACATTTTCTGTCCAGGCGCAGGGCTTCATCACCGGGGAAGTCGGGCCTGTCCTGTGGCACCTGTTCAGGCACTCCACCGTGGACTCCCTGAGGATAACAGCCATATCGGTAAGTAAGGCTTCTCTGGAGGATGCTCCCGGGGGCGCAGGCGCCGTGTTTGAAGAACTGCGCCCGAGCGAGGTGGATTCAGCGGGAAAGGCAGAAGCGTTGGGGTATAAGTAGCTCAGGAGTTTCCTAAAGCAGAGCTCTCAACACCGGCCCTGGAGAGTTTGGGGCTTTGCGGGGTGTGGTGTTCATTACTGGTTAAGCCACCTGGAGCCGAGCTTGGATTCTTAGACAGCCGGTGGGGTCCCACTCACGTGTCTGACTTTATGGCTCCAAAGCGAGTGACGAAGAGGCAGGGCTTGTGCCCTCTCTGTTGAGCAGGGTCGGGTGACATCTGTAGGGGCGGGGGGCCGGGTGACATCTGTAGGGGCGGGGTACCCGGTGCCCTCCAAGTCTGTGATGGGTCTACGCTCCTGTTCCCACAGGCCCTGTGCAGAATCACACGCCAGTCCCCTGCAGTCTTCCAGAATGTCATCGAGAAGGTGGGACTCAACGCTGTCATCAGCTCCCTGGCGTCCTCCATCTGCAAGGTGCAGCAGTACATGCTGACCCTGTTTGCGGCCATGCTGTCCTGTGGGATTCACCTGCAGCGGCTGATCCAAGAAAAGGTCTGACTCTGCGCTCAGCTCTGCTGAAAAACCCGTCTTCCCCCCCCCCCCCCACAGCGGTGCGCTGGGCACGGACTGCCATCCCTGTAGGGTTAGGTGTCATCCCAAAGAGGCCGTTTGGTGGTAAGGAGGCAGCGGCGCATGGCTCCTGCCACCTTGCTTCAGTGAGGAGAAGCCACAGAGCTCGTGAGGCTTCCCCCGTGCTGCTGTTTCCACGCGGCGGCCAAGTAGCCCAGCCTTCCTCTTGTGCTCTGTTCTCCTTAGCGGGAGGGGTGCCCCTGTCTCTGTCCCCTCCGACCGTGCCCATTCCTCCCAACCCTTGTCACCTCTTGAGTCTTCGTCCCCTGTCGTGATTTCATCTCCACTAGGCCTCTTGATGACCTTTATCTGGTTCCCAGTCTCTGTGGTGGCTGTGACTAGGTCTCCGTGATGGCTGTGACCAGGTCTCCGTGATGGCTGTGGCCAGGTCTCCATGGTGGCTGTGACCAGGTCTCCGTGGTGGCTGTGGCCAGGTCTCCATGGTGGCTGTGGCCAGGTCTCCGTGGTGGCTGTGACCAGGTCTCCGTGGTGGCTGTGACCAGGTCTCCGTGGTGGCTGTGACCAGGTCTCCGTGGTGGCTGTGACCAGGTCTCCGTGGTGGCTGTGACCAGGTCTCCGTGGTGGCTGTGACCAGGTCTCTGTGATGGCTGTGACCAGGTCTCCGTACCAGCCTTTCTCCACTTGTCACTTCTTGCCCTGATGAAGAGCAATGCATACTGCTGTCATCTCTGTGGCTGTGGTATGTTTGGAAACGTAGACACTTATGTCTGCTGCGTGCCCTGCTGCCTCAGAACCCACAGGTGAATGCTGTGTGTGCTGAGCGATTTGACCCTAACGTTTCAGAAATCTGTGTACAACGTGTGTACAGCGAGGTGCCAACAGTTAAAATAAGACCACGTTTGTACGCAAGTTTGTAAGGTAATGAGTCAAAAGGCGACCTGTTCTTGGCTGTGTGGTGTTTCCCAACTGTAAGTGGAATTCTTAATTGGTCTAGACAATAAAAAGCCGGAGTCAGATACAGAGGGAAACGCTGAGAGATCAGAGAGAAGGAGCAAGCCATGGCACACCTCACCTCCTTAGCATCTCAGCAGACAAGAGAGTGACTTCCTGTTTCTCCCTGCTTATATCCTGTTTCTTCCCAGTTACCTCACTTCCTGTCTGTCTGTACAGACCTCCAGGCCACTATGGTTAGCTCCTGGCACGCTCCATTCTCTGACCCTCAGACAGGCTTTATTTGTACAAGCAAGGTTTCACCATGCACAACTTTTTAAAAGGAATGTTCCTGCAGTATTCTAGACACCTGGGCCAGGGATGGGGAAGCACACTTTAATATCTGAGTCATCATTCATTCTCCCGTCCATCTGTCCATCCGTCTGTCCATCTGTCCATCCATCCATCCATCCATCCATCCGTCCATCCGTCCATCCCTCTGTGCTGGGAATGGAGTCATTTGCTTTCACTGCTGGGCCTGCCCCTGCCCCTGCAGTACCCCCACTCTTAGGACAGAGGTTTGTAAATCTCAATGGCAGGTCTTGAATGGGGCCATTGAAACCCACTGTTGGCTGTGGTCCTACTGTATTAAATGCTGTCTATTGTTTTTTTTTATATTTAAAGTTAGAATTTTTACATTAATAACACACTTGCATGGTACCTTAGTTTCTGTTGCTGTGATAAAATTCTCTGACAAACAGGCTTAAAGAAAAGGATAAGGTTTATTTTAGCTCACAGTCGAGGTTACAGTATTGTCATGGTGGGGAAGTCAAGGTTACAAAGCTTGAAGCCGCTGCTCTCGTCATCCGCAGCCAGGAAGCAGAGAGTGACAACTGCTCAGCTCCTTCCTTCATCTGTACAGACGGGATCCAGACCAGGGATTGGCTCCACCCACAGTGGGCGGGCCCTTCCAAGCCTTTCTGTTCCCAGAGTGAAGCACACTTGGCCTTCCCTCCAGTTGGATGTTCAGACTTCTGTGGCTGCCAGCAAGTGTTTTCAGCAGTCTGCGTGTCTAGATTTGCTATTCAGTCTTCCAACTTATTAAACGCTACGATCATTTTATAGAAATAGTCACTCTTTATTGTGAGAGTTGTGGTCAGAGAGGCTGAGGGCTTTAGCAGAATTATTTTTTAAACTCTCAGTACACTGTGGTATAATATTTTAAAAAGTCAGGAAAATGAGATACATTCATTGTTTGATGCTGTGTAACTACATTTCCATGTCTGTGAAACGAATGAATGGGTAACAGAAGAGTGATTGCTCACTTTTATTTAGTATTGGCCCTTTCTCCCACCCAGGTACCAACCAGGTCCCACTCTGCCTGGCTTCTGAGATCAGATGAATTGAAAGTATTGTGGCCGAGGCAGGGCCTGGCCTTTCTTTTCTGTACATACACTAAGGGGGCACCTGGATTTGAACCGGGGACCTCTTGATCTGCAGTCAAATGCTCTGCCACTGAACTGTGCCCCTCTGCAGATCCTCATATAGTGTGCTCTGACAGCGAGGCTGGGAAAGGGGAACCCAACTTTAAAAGGGGGTCCCAGCTAGAAAAATGGATCCAACCAGAGAAGGGGGTCCTGGCTGGGGAAGAGTCCTGGTTATTGTAGGATTGCAGTGAATGCCCCAGTTTCCCACAGGTCTTCATTGGCAGTGCTTTGCCAGGGGATAGTGTTGGGGGGCCCTGTCAGGATCAGATGAGGTCTAGGATGAGGATCAGATGAGGCAGTCCCTTTGCTAATGGAACTGGGTGCATTTTGTTTTCATTGTATTTGACTGAAACAGAGTAGCAACTGTTCAGTAGTTCTCTGTGTTGCAGGGTAAACCTTGTTCCTTTGGCTTTGCATGGGCATGCTTGGTTACTTGTGTCTGTGTGCTTATATTGTATGCACATTTGTGTTTGGTATGCTCACTTATGCATGCATAGTTGGAGATATTTTGTAGCATTTTTCTGGGATTTGAAGCTTCCATCATAGAGACAGACTGATTCAGAAGCTAAACAACTTACAAGGCTCAGGAAGTACCTGAAACTGACCAGACTCACACGGCTCCTCCGTCCCCAAGGTTATATCAGGCCGAGGAGAGACCTTCCATTTGGTTGGGCAGTCTGCACATCATGCAAAGATGGCAGCTTTACTAAGTCTGTGTCTAGGCTGGGTGGGCTCTTTGGTGGTGCAGTTGCCTTTGAGTTATCCACCCTCCTGTGAGTAACTCTTCACTCGTGCTCAACTCATTGCTTCTCCAAGTGTGGCTTTGGTAGTTGTGTCTTTGGTCTGCTCTCTCTGCCCTGTTTGGGGTGAGCAGATATTTGTTTACAGAGACAGGATGGCTTCCCACCTTACTAGGTTTTGAGGCAGAGTCTCTTACTGGACACAGTGTTTGCAGTTTTGGCTTGGTCAGCTGACTTGTGAACATATTCCCAGAATTCTCCTGTCTGTTACCTGACTCCTAGCACTGGGGTTTTAGGTGTAGGCTGCCAGGCCTGGCTTTTACATGGGGTCTGGGAGCTAGTCCTCTGGCTTGTTCAACAAGTGCTCTTCTACCCACGCAGCCATCTCCCGGGCTTCTTAGTTATCTTCTTATGATAAACTTTTAAGAAAAACTGCCCAGTTACTCTTGCAGTTGAAAGCTTTTCTCTGTTCTGCTTGGTCTCTTCTGCCCACTGGTCCCCACAGCTGTTTATAAAAATAATCACTTAGAGGCTTAATATTAATTACAAATTGTTTATCCCATAAGCCCAGGCTTATTAGTAACTAGCTCTCACAACTTAAATTAACTCATTTCCATTATTCTATATTTTGCCACGAGACTTGTGGCTTGTTACCTCACCTCTTGCTTTCTTGGTGGCTGCTGGCATCTCCCTGTGACTTCTTTCTCCCTGCATCTCTGCTTGGATTTCCCACCTAGCTATATTCTGCCCTGCCATAGACTAAAACAGCTTTATTCATCAACCAATAAGGACAACACGTATCTGTAGCATACAGAAGGACATCCCACATTGTACTCATTTTTAAAAGGCCCTTTTCCTACGGAGTTTATTTGTGATAGTGTGATTGACTATATTACGAATCGCCGCAATGCTAGTCAAAGGCCCAATGTGGCGTGTGGCAGAAGCTCCATGCCTCAGGGCTGTGTGAAGTTCATGGTCAAATTCCCTTTCTTCCCTTCAGGCTATTTTTCTGTCTCAGCCCAAACACGCAGTGGTCCCGTGGCGAATTCCTGTTTTCTTCTCTTCACACGCTCCATCTCTGTGACTTCAGGGAGCCACAGAAGTTAGTTTCACAATGTTGACAGCTGTGGCTCTTTAGACATTTTGCCCTGAAATCACACAGGTCACAAAGTTGGATATGTCCTCTCACATTAACACACAGGCAAAAGGCTGCCCTCAGACCTTAGAGGAGAAAGGTCCAGAAGGCCCCAGCTGAGTAGAAAGGTGCTGGCATCCAGCCTCAGAGAACCTTGGCATACCACGGCTTCAGAAACAAAACCACCCTCTCAGAAAGACTCGCCGGAGCCACTTGTGACGAGGAATTGAACATCAGCACCAAGAGTAGCACAGTGACGGAGGCCCAGGGCGTGTGTGTCCAGTGACGGAGGCCCAGAGGTGTGGGTGTTCAGTGACGGAGGCCCAGAGGTGTGGGTGTTCAGTGACGGAGGCCCAGGGGCATGTGTGTTCAGTGATGGAGGCCCAGGGGCATGTGTGTCCAGTGACGGAGGCCCAGAGGTGTGTCTAGTGACAGAGTCCCAGAGGTGTGGGTGTCCAGTGACGGAGGCCCAGAGGTGTGTCTAGTGACAGAGTCCCAGAGGTGTGCGTATGTCAAGTGACAGAAGCCCAGAGGCGTGGGTGTGTCCGATGAAAAGTTTCATACACGAATTTGGTAGAATAATTCAGAGTTCCATTCCCGTGTGTACCTGTCACCAACAACAGTCCACACGGACAACTGATGTCATTTGATTCAAGTACATTCCTTCCT